AGCGGAGGTAACATAAGGGAGACAAATTAATGGCAGATTTTGAGGAAGAGGAAGGAACCAATATGATTACAGAGTGCTTGTGTCTTTAACTAAAAGAAGGGCAGGCAAGATTGGAGAGACAATGGTGAATTTGGTGTAGAGAGGTCAAGTTCAAGACTTCAGTGGGACACACAGGTGCACACGTGCATCAGGAAGCCGGGAAATCAGGCCTGAATTTCTCGGAATAGTGAGGACCTGGGAACTATCCACATAAACTTTCAACAGTAAAGATAAATTTTAAAATATATATATACATTATCTAAGAATGTATATATCTTGTAAATAAAAATACAAAAGAGAAAAAAAAGCCATCGTTAAAGATTAGAAATTGGGTGAGTTCCCTTAAGATTGTAAATACAAAAAAAGAAGCCAACAGAGATTTTATACCTCCAAATTGGTGGGCTCCAATCTTTGTCAGTCTATGAATTCTTTGTGTATAGTTTATCTGATTAGATCTGGAGTGTGTCCGATCCTATTTTTTAAAGGACTTCCACTGTCCTCCCAATTACAGAGTGAGGAGCTTCCTGTAGATTCCATGTGAAATGTATGGCAGTTTACTTCTAAGTAACTTGGAAATGTGGATTCCTCTGTCTCACATCTACATGAAAAGCAGAGGAACTTTAAGTACAGATATTGACTACTGTTATATTATGTATATTCTTGGGAAAATATTTGTTGGTGTGATTTTTCCAAAGCAGGATCATAAAAAACATCCTGCTGTTTTAAAGCCCTATCTCTGGTCACTCTAACATCTGAACCCCTGAGTGTCTATTTATATTTTCTAGTTTTCCTCTTGGGGTTTGGACATTTGATCCCATTTTCCAGCATGCCTTGTAATTTTTTACTGGATGCCTGACATTGTGGATCAGAATTTATAGAGGTTCTGGACAATGTTGTCTTTCTCCAAGTAAGGTTAAAGTTTTCTTTTCTTTAAGCAAATAAAGGATCAGTAAATCACCTTGAGCCCATCCAGGTTTGGTTTTAGGATTTGTTACTGCTGATCTACTTCAATGTTTCCCTTCCTCCGGGGGCATGGTCATAACTCTGGGGGAATTACTTTAGGGTGTAGCCCTTATTTCTATGACTCAGGTTTCTGGGGTCTTAACTGAAATCTCGGGGTGTTTACCAAGACCCCTCTGCTTTGGCAAGACTTGGACTCTATCCTCTAACCCCCCAGCACTGTTCTGCGGCTGTTATCTCTGCTCAGCACGTTCACCTCCTTGCTGCTATATCCTTCTGGGTGTATCCTGGAATCTCACTCCATGCATGTGTAACTTAGGAATCACCCAATGACTTCAGGGTATTCACTGGCTCAGGAATTCATGACCTCTGTCTACCCATCACAGTGAGGTGATGCTTTCCACTCAGCCTCTGGTCCCCTTGCTAAGAACAAGAAATAGCCTGAGGTGTAATGGGGGGATGGGGAGCTCATCTGAGTTGCTGCCCTTCTCTCAAGGACCATAGCACCTCCATTTCCTGCCTGTGTTGGCTGCTCCCAAACACTTCCAAATGTATTTTAAATATTTGGCCCAGGTTTCATAATTATTTTCAGCGATTAGGCTAATGAGACAAAATACTCCACCGAAACTAGAAATCTTCATTAAGAAAATAAAGGGGGAGCCAGAAGGGCAGCAGTGAGAGACAGAAGAAAATGGGAGAGAAGAGGAAAACCAGAATTTGGCAGTCTCACGAAGGCCCAAAGGGAGAAGTGTCATGGAGTCGGCATTGTCAAAAAGAAAAAGACATTCATGAAAAGAAGGCTAACTCAGGATGTAGGCTTGACTAGGAGCAGGTCACAGGCGTAGCATTTACTGATGGTCCCATGTGTTCATCTCCAGCAAACGTCAAGCTTTTTGGAGTGGGTGATGCGTTTTAGAGTTGTGTGAATCTTCCCAGAACAGTTCTGAACACTCAGCATATAGTTGCTCATAAATTACACGACAAGGGAAAGTTTCAGATGTTTGAAAGGCATGTGTTTGAGGGAGGCACGTGGGAAGCTGAAGGAGAGGCCTGGCCCGGCGTGTCCTTAGCCGAAGGGTCGAGAGACAATTTAGCAGAGGCCCCCCTGCCAGACTATTTATACCCACCAGCGAAGTGCCAGGTGCATAGCATTCAGTTCATGACTCAGGAAGACAGGATATGAATTTAATTTCAAAGATCCCAATTCATACTTAGAGAACAGGAATCTGGCCAGTGCCTCTCTTCTCCCCCTCTCGATACCAACCCATGTAACAGCCATAAACAGACATCTGTGAGCACCAGAGCCCAAGCTACCAGGCTTTGGGTCTTTAAGAAATATAGTTTCCTCTGCTTCGTCTGTCAAAATCTTTTCCCTTTGCATTTGGTGGAAAGAATATCAGTGTGTCCACATGGGCCAGTTTGACAACTAGAAATCCCAAGAGTTATGGGCTCACATCCTCTTGGTTCCTCTACCAGAAAGAAAAGAGTTTGCCCTACCCCACCTCACCTCAGCTCACCCCCATTCCATATGGAAAACTGCTGTTCTCACGGCTGTCTCCCCTTCTGTAAGTCTCCGGTCAGTTTCCAGGTTGTATGGACATGTCTGTACAGTAGTCTAATCCAGCCATTTTCAACCGATGTGCCGCAAGAATTTGTAAAACATGCAATACCTGACTATTTAGTCAGGAGCACTGACCTCTATTCCCTTAGACTGTCAAATAAAACAATGACAACAGCCAACGCAATAGTAGCCGTCCTGTGTAAATGCCCTGTCTTGAACCATAAATACATAGGTCATGTTACAGAGTTGCAATTTATTGGTCACTTCACATAATAACATTGCATCTGATTGGTTAAATTTTGGTACCAGAAATTCTTATATACAAGTATAGGCACCTGATATTTTTAAAGGTCACTTTGGAGCAAAAGGGTAGGTAATTACTATTACTATTATTATTATTATTTTGTAAATCAATAAAAATTATACCTATTTTTCATTTTTATTTTTTGGTCAGATTGGCAAAAAATCTAATATATTTTTTGGTGTGCTGTAGAATTTTAGTAATTAGGTTATGGGTGCCATGAGATGGAAAAGGTTGAAAATCGCTGGTCTAACCTAACGGAGCGTTTCACAGGTCAACAAAGTCACAAGCAAGTGGGGCTGGAAGCATCCACGTGGGACCACCTGACACAGCAGAGGAGAGTGTAGCTTAGTGGTTAGGGGTGTCCATACTGGAGTTGGACTGCCCGAGTTCAAACCCTAGCTTTGCCGCTTTTTACCTTTGTGACCTTCAGTAAACCATGTGGTCTCTGTCTCAGTTCCCTCTTAGGAAAAATACGGATGAAAAGACCCCTTTCCTTGCCGAGCTGCGGGGCTACCACAGGGCCTGGCTCATCATGAGCCGTCAAACACAGGGAAAGGGTGTGGGTGGTTCCCTTAGTGCCCTCCCGCATGCCTGGGCTCAGTGAGCGCTTCCCTGGGTGGGGTGAGGGGACAGGCGGCTGGAGCCGGCCAGCGTTTGCTGTGACCTGGAGCAGGTGTCCCTCTGCGCAGCAGGAGGATGCTCGCTGGCCCAGGGACGGAGCGGCCTTGCCCGGGAGCCGAGGCCTCTGGTCTCAGTGCTGCTCAGACAGAGGCCCCAGGAGGCCTCAGGATTAGAGAAGGTCCCTGCTGGGGGTGCCAGGCAGTCAGGAACGGGAGGGTGGAGACAGGCTGTCCAGAAAGTCATCGCCACCCCACGCAGCAGGAGAAGCAGCTGCCCCTCCAGCTTTCTGCCTCCCGTAGTGGATGATCAGTGACTCATCGCAAGGGGACCATTTCTTGATGAAGATACATCTGCATTGGGCTGATTGAAAATTGTTTCTTGTCAGCTTAACAAGTGTGATATTAGAGAGTCTGGAAAGCAAATGCAGAAAGGGCTTTGGAGTCTGACATACCTGTGTCCCAACCCTGGCTCTGTAATTTAGCAGCTTCGTGACCTTGAGAAAATTGCCTAGATGGTTCTGTTGCCTTGTCATAAAATGGGGATAATATTTTTTACTCCACAGGGCTATTGCTGAGTGTCAGAAGAGCTGGCATATGTGAAATGCTGTGCGCATGCTGTGCCAGTCTCAGAGGAAGCAAGTAAGACAATGACATATGTCTCCCTTTCTCTCCCCAAGTGAATCACGAAGTCTAAGGGTACATAGGTGGAGCATTCAATTACCTGTCAACCTATCTACCCCATATCAGGTGTCTCCAGAATTCCTAGGACTGAACCATAATTGCTCAGAATATAATCAAACTCCAAGATATCTTGCTTTATAAGCTATTGCTTTCATTGCCATAACTCCATTAGTTTTGAATTTACTGACTTAGCCACAAAATGGATGTTCATTCTTTTAAAAAATATAGACTAGGTATGCTGTCACCAGGGAGCAGTAGGTTCTTTAACTAGAGCTATTTTAATAATTTTCTAAATTTAGAACCTTGTACAAGGCCTTTTTCAAAAACAAACAACAAAATACAAAGAACCATGTTTTGTGTTTATTTTCTTTTTTATTAAATTTATTGGGGTGACATTGGCTAATAAAATTATATAGGTTTCAGATGTACAATTTTATAATATATCATCTGTGTATTGTATTGTGTGTTCAAGTCAAGTCTCCATCCATCACCATTTACCCCCCCTATACCTTCTGTGTTTATTTTCATGTCAAAGTTCCCTACTCAGCACAAATCGTGAACCACTGATATTTGTATTGTTACTGCTTAATTTAGTATTTGGCACATAGGCAGTGCTCATAAGTCTTTTTTAAGTGATCTCTGAGCTGAGCTGTTCTTCCTACTTAAAGCATATAATTTTAAAAAACCAAATTCAATACTACTCTCCCCACAGTGGTTTCCTATGGCTCAAGAATGCTTTTTATTTAATACCAGGAAGCTGGTATTATGCTTTATGCTTTTTATTCACCAAAAATAAATTATCTGTTCATATGAACAACTCATTAATAAAAGATGCTCACCAGAGGTCAGAAGATCCTAGGTATTTCCAAATTTGATTCCATCTATTTTTCTTATATGTTTCAATATAACCTCTCATGGAATTTGTCTAATAAAAACAAAAATAACAACAATATAGCTGTTACCATCTATTAGACACTTACTGTGTGCCTGTGTGAAGGGCTTCCCATGGATTATCTGAACCACTGTTGCAGGTTGCTCACAGGGTCAAAGAGCGGGTAGGTTGGATGTGCTTTGATGCCCAATGGGGCAGCTGCCCGAGGCCACCCAGTGAGGAAGCCAAATTTCAAACCCAGAATCTTAGGCTCCACATCCAGGACTCTTCCCCCCACATGGAAATGCCTCCCAGCCTGGATTTAGGCTTCCCATGATCTAGTCCACAGACTTTACTCCACACCTCAATTTTTCCCCTCTGCTCACTTTCTGCTTCAGCCAGAGGACCTGGTCAGCATGCACGCTCTGCACTTCGCAACTCGGCTACAGCTTACAAAACACCTGCTTCCTAGAATGCCCCCCTCCTTGTCTGCACAGCCAGTCCCATCACCCTTCGAGACCCAGAAAGCCTTCACTGCTCCCCTCTGCCCACCATCACCACACACGCACAGCAGGAGTCTTTCCTTTCCTAAACCATCACAGCATTTTGGGGGGGCACCATTCCTGTGTCACTACACACCTCCCCCCTGGTATTTCAGCTTTATGTACAGAGCTGGATGTCTGCTGGATGCTGCCCACCTTGGAGGCAGAACCCACGTAGGATCCAGACCTGGATCCACGCAGCACCCAGCACAGGAGACTGTGAGTGGAAGCCCCTCCCACTGCCGTCCCATAACACGGGGAGCTTGGCCTGACAAGCTGTCACACAGGCTCTCTTCCTTCCCTTCTGGCTTCCCTCGCACATCCCTCAACTTAATTGTTTTAACGGGACTATTCAGGACTCACCAGTGAAGCATGAAATAGGCCCACATGTTGCTGGGAGACACCCAATTAACCAAAGGGCTAGAGAAAAACAAAAATGCTGGATAAAGTCAAAATAAATAATTGACAAATTAGTCTCCATCTGTGTCTTATTGTCAACAAACAGTTCAATCTTCCTGCCTGCTCAGATTGCACAAGGAGCTTTCAACCAAAAGGCAGGAGTAAGGAACTGAAAGTGTTTTGGCGAGAGGATGTGCCCCTGAATTTACTGGGGGGAAATTCCGTTGACTCAACTGGCATGTATTAGGCACCTACTACATATCTGACAGTCTGCCGGGCCCTGGAGATAGAATGACAAAGGCTTTTCCGTCCAAGAGCTGAACAGGCGAGCAGGCTCATAAAGAGATGGGGGAGAGAAAAGATGGGCAGCTTTGTCTTGGTCATGTGGCCTAGGGACTTTCTGTCACTGCTTTCAGTCTTGGTGACTTCACCTGTGAGATCCGGATGATAACCAGGCTGGTGAGGGAGAAGCAAATGAAACAACATTTACATCAAGGCCTGGCTCACACTGTGTACTTCCTCACTGGCCACTCCCTCCCAACTCTGCCTGGAGCCCATGGGTGTAATCCTCGCTCAGCACAAATGCTGTTGGTAAATAGAGGATTGAAAATGCAGTTCAGGGGAACAAGTCCATGATGGCAACCTCATGTAACTGTCTTCTGTGAGCAAAGCTGAGCTAAACAAGTTTTCTTCTTTGTATTTCCTGTTGAAATGCATCATTTCCTTTCTATGAACCTCAGATGGTGGCCCTTCCCAATGAAAATATCCTCAAAAGGATCTAAGATCCAAGTCTTAGTTTCCCTGTGTTGATGTAAGAAATGTCCAAACTTGTAAAAAAAATGTTATAAAAGTTTATTTGAGCCAAACTGATGACACTGCCAGGAAGCAGTCTCAAATGCTCCTGAGAGCAACAGTTTTGCCGTTTCTTTTATGCAGGAAACGTAAGGAAGATTACACAAAGGTGGGAGACAGCAAGGTACAGGACAGGTAACAAGATTAAGTGCTCTCTTGGGTGTGGTTATGCTTCCCAGAGGTCTGAAAAAGAGGCATTTCAAAGGTGTGTTAACCTAGATGCACAGAAACAATGAACAGGGCTTGTGTAAGGCAAGGATAATTCTTTATAGGGAAGATCTAGGCCTGAGGCCTGACTACTGGCCGGCCGTGACCTGCCCAATTAGGCATTTATGGTCAGAGCACCCTGTGAGGTTGCTTTAGGTTAGGTTCATTACAGAGCTCATTTTTCACCCACACTCATTTTTCGATAGTATTCACCTCATCAGGCCCTTGTGAGAGATAGATAGGATGACATATCTATTCAATAAATGTTTACTGAATGCCTATGATGTGCCAGCACTCTTCTAGTTTCCGGGGTTACTGCAGTGAACAAAACAGATTTTTTTGAAAAAATGCTGGCCTTCCAGCAGGCAAGGAAAGGTAACAAATTTGATGTAAAATTCAGGGGTTGACAAAAGTAGATTTACAATTGGGAGTACATGAAACAGAGTTTATTATTTATTTAATATTGTATTATTTATTTGAATTATTTTACTTATTATTATTGCTATTTGTTCATATTCTTACTTATGATTTATCTTTTAGGTGATGATGGCTGGTAATTTCACCTACTTTTGCCCACCCCTGGATATAGTGTGTCAGGGGGTAATGCATGCAGAGCATTTGGTGCAAGGCATGCCTTATAAGAAACGCTCAGTATTATGGTGATAGAAATAAAGACAAGCACCAAGAGTAACTTACCCAAGAATGTCAGCTTCTTCAAGGTGAGGCTCAAAGGCACACTGTGGGGTGAGATGTAGAGGAGGATCTCAGTCCCTACAATCACTTAATACCATGTCATCCATTTGAAGAAAGGAAGGAGGTCATCCCTGGGGATATCAGTGCCACGGCAAAGTCAACAGTGTTTTCCCGTATCCTTGAGACCAGCAATGGAAACAATTTTCACGCTCAGTCACCCTGTCTCTAATTATTTTCTCCGTTGATTCAGTGATCCCAATATCTCCAAAGACTTTCTCTTATGAAAAATGAAATTATGTTGCCCGGCTGGTGTGGCTCAGCAGTTGGACGTCCACCTAGGATCCAGGCAATCGGGGTTCGATTCCTGGTCAGGGCACATGCCCGGGTTGCGGGCTCGATCCCCAGTCGGGGGCTTGCAGGAGGCAGCCAATCAATGACTCGCTCATCATTGATGTTTCCATCTCTCTCTCCTTCTCCTTTCCTCTCTCTGAAATCAATAAAGATATATTTTTTTAAAAAAAGAAAAATGAAATTATGTTGGCAAAATGTATATAGTCTGTGGCCCTTTGCTTCCTAATATAGAAATAAATGAATCCATTTAGGGGTTGGCTCTTGTCATTGGGACAGGGTTCAATGCTGTAAACACTCAGAGGCTGCTGACCAAAACCAGAACATCTACCCCTTTACCTGAAAAATGAAGAGCTGCTTAGAGTTGGCATGAACATTGTCACATGAAAAAGCCTCACTGAGGGAAATAAGGCTGCTCGGCCATGGGCTCCACGATAAGATGGAAAGTGTGCTCAACCATGGGCTCCGTGGTAAGATGGAAAGTGTGCTCAACCATGGGCTCCGCGGTAAGATGGAAAGTGTGCTCAACTGTAAGCTCCCTGGTAAGATGGAAAGTGTGCTCGACCATGAGCTCCAAGGTAAGATGGAAAGTGTGCTCGGCCATGGGCTCTGCGGTAAGATGGAAAGTGTGCTCGGCCATGGGCTCTGCGGTAAGATGGAAAGTGTGCTTGACCATGAGCTCCAAGGTAAGATGGAAAGTGTGCTCGGCCATGGGCTCCACGGTAAGATGGAAAGTGTGCTCAACTGTAAGCTCCCTGGTAAGATGGAAAGTGTGCTCGACCATGAGCTCTAATAGTAAGATGAAAACTGTGAAGAAGTGAACATACTTTTCCTCCTCTCTCCTTCCAGGAACCAGCATCCCAGGAGCCATGGGGGAGGGGAGGGCAGGCCTCCTTTTTGGTAGTTATACAGCAAATCTCTGGGTTCCCTAGGGCTGAGAGCTTTCTTGTTACTCTTCAGAGACCTAACACCTCGCAGAGTGTCAGGTCCATTGTAAGTGTGCTGGTGATGGTCCATCGCCCCCCCCAATCCTGCTCTACCCATCGGTTCCCCATGAGGCTGAACTTTGTTCTCTGCTTCAAAGTGCTCCCCTGCCTTCTGATTGAGCTGCATCATTAGTGACGTCGGGTGTTATTCCCTAACTCTCTCCTTGTTGGCCGACTGTGGGTTCATGGTGTCCCAATGAGGCCATTTCTCCTGTCGGGGCATCTTCTCCACACACCTTCCTCTCTCTGGGCTCCAGTAGCTGCTCCCCCCTTGCACTTCAGGCTTAGGAGGAGTTACGGCTCCTGTGAGCACTCAGTTCGAGCTACTGCACTACCCCTTCGTTGGTTTTCTTAAACCCTACCCTGAATTTCAAAAACAACTAATTTATTAAATGCTCCTCAAATGTCCAATAGGAACTTACCATTCGTTCCCTTCCAGGATCCTGACTTACAAATTAATAAACGTTTGCAGAAAGAATTAACTTATTAATGAACTCAAATAAAATGACCTTACTCACATATCTACCTGCCATTATAATCCAGACCAGAGTTTCAAAAACCCATCTAATGACTAAAATTGAACTTTTTAAACAAGCATTCTCAGGCATATTTCAGGAAAATTTAGAGATTGGGTCTAGGAAATGTCTGTGTATAGTTTTAAAGCTCATCAGGTAAATCCCATCATCAGGATGGCATGCGTACCTCTGTTCTAGGCGGCTCTCTCAGAATCCCTGGCCATCCTGGCCTAGAGTTGGAGGCTGTTAAAGACTCTCACCACCCACAGTGCTCATGGTTGGTTTCCAGAGTAGCTGGGTCCAGGGAGGGAAAAGGACTTGTCTTCTTTTATAATATTTCTTTCTTCAATTAGAGAAAGGAACAAGAAGTACTAGGAAGAACTTTCTCCCATCATGAGTAGCTACTGGCTGCTGAAAAAAAGTGCTCGAAGGAAATGATTACATTAGCTATTAGGTGAGCCAGTCTTCTACCCAGAGAGCATCCATCACAAGTAACAATTTAGCATAATTGCTAAGAGCATGGCCTTGGGAATCTGCCCATTTGAGTTTCAGCTCTACTGCATAGCAACTCTTTGACTGTGGGCCAGACATACAGCCTGTCTGAGCCCCATTTTCCTCACCTATAATATTCATCTACCCATTCATTCATTCATCTCCCATCAATCCACCCATCTACTCACCCATCTCTGTACCCATCCACCCATCCATCCATCCACTCACCTACCTTTCCATCTAACCATCCATCCTTCATCCATTCACCCATCTATCCAAATCATCCAGCCATGGTCTATGATATCTAATGGCACCATTAGAATGGATTATCTTTATGGTACTTTACAGTTTGAGACTCTGTGATTCCATAAAAATTGATGGGCAGGGGGCTGATCATGTGCAGAATGAACCACAATCTCAGCAAACCCTCTAAGAGCTCGTATCCGGTGGAGAAGATAAAAAGATAAATACACATATTTATCTGGAGCAGAAAGTAGAAAATGAAAAGAGCCCAAGGGAAGTGTGAGCAGCAGCACGAAGGATGAGGCCAGTGGAGGGAAAATGGCCTGATCCATACAGAGAAAGGTAGCCTTGTCTTTAAAATATGTGACAATCATTATTGTGGGTTTGAGGGGTACCAAAAGCCAGAATCTACCTTCCCCAGTAGCCTGTGCCATGCTTCACATTCCTGTCTTCTTTTGGACAAGGGCATCTGCTTCTAGGTGGCTTTGCTGAAAGGCACGGCTTGCCCGGGAAACGCATCAGTCAGCACCTATCTATAAGATTAGCAACCACACTATCTGTCATCTCAGGGTCTTATTTTCTGAACCTGAAATCAGTCATGTGACAAGCACCCATGGAGACAAATAAAGGGTCTATTTGGAATCTGAGCTGCCTTGGAAAATCTGCCTTGTATAGATGCTGTGGCTATAGAATGGCTGAGCTCAAGAGATCAGGAATTTTCTTTGGAGGGAGCCCAGGAAACCTGGTTTTCACCTCCATTCTGATGCATTGCTGGGCAAAGAGCATTCAGTAGAGAGCAAAGGCGCCCAAACAGTAGTAAGAAAGAACCAAAAGTCAAATGAAAGCAGAGAAGAAAAGAGGAAATGGAGACCAGCAGGCAATCCTAAGAAAACAGGTGAGAAGTCCCCCCACCTCCACCCCTGAGGAACTTGACTTTCTTTGTAATTATTTTCTCGCCTGGCTTTGCATGGAAGGAATCTGCCAGGCTGGCCTGCACCGGAGGCAGGGG